CCCTAGCCACCAGCACACCTCTGCTCAAGCTCTCCTCCTTCAGTCCTTCTGCTCGGACGACTGAGCACTATTCTCTTCCTCGGCTCAGGGAGTCTCAGTTTCATTCTTTCTTTCTACGTTTTTTTCTGTTGACTGACTCCTCTCGGCAGCTGCTTAATGTTACTGTGCTGTATGTCAAAGCAACACATACTCATCTTCCCTGCTGTCTCTTTCTCAGCAAACAGAAAACGTGACGGATTCTTGGTCAGACAAAATTTGCATTTTAACCAGGCTTCTGGGCAATCAAATTTTCACCAGTCTGATTAATTAATTTATCATCTGACAATTTTTCTAATCATATTTTTCTGTCTATTTTTAAATACGAAACAGGCCATTTCCCCTCCTTGAACCTATGTTTACTTGAAGCTAATGACATGCCCTTCAGGCTTATCAGGTTAAACCAATGAACAAACAAGACTTCCTTCATCTGCAGGGCCATAGCAAAAATTATTTGGTAATTTAATACAATATAATAAAGATAATTTTTTTAATTGCATTTCAAGATTTTGCTGATGTCTCATTTTCCATTTTACCAGCTGCAGCAAAGACATGTACATGTCTGTTGAGCATAATCATAAATGTGCAGAAGTGGATATTAAGGCAGAGTTTCCCCCATTGTTCAGCACCAGCTCTACAGGGCTCCCATATCTGACAATTCTCTCTATTCAATAAGAAAAGTTCACCTTTACAATGGCAAGGATGGTGTTTAGGAGCAGTACTGACAAAAAGATTCACTGGGATGCAGTTATGCCCTCCCTATACTGTTCCAGAACCTGCTACCTGCTTGCAATATAGGTGCTTGCAGCAATAGAGCAGCTTCCTTCACTTCTTATTTACAGCAGCAAACCTCTGTGACCCAGTAATGTGTGAGGGAAGTTCTGCCCGAGACTTCTGTGGGCACCCAGTGGTGTAAGGAACCTTCAGCTACCCACTAACAGGGAAGAGCACATAGCAGGGAGAAGAACATAAAAGGGAAACTGAAAAGAGAAAGGAGATTGTTCAATTTTTAGAAAAGGTCATTTTCAGTGAAATATACTCATTATAGAATTTCAATTATCTCTAATAGTTGATAATGTGGTAGCAGGATGGTAGCTCATACTGAAAGCATTTAATTTCTTTGGTTTTAAAGGGCTAACTTTTCTCTTTGTAAATGTAAGTGATTAACATAGTTGAGAAAAAATCTTAGGGCAGCACAACTTAGCCTTCCGGTTGGTTTTTTCCTTACATCTTATTTTGCAAATTTGGCCACAGAAATGATTTTCAGTCTGTCAAGCATGGACAGGGTTTAATTAACTCATACAGATGCTTAAACAATTTTGTGGCTTCTATCTGCTTATCTCTAGATTAAATATTCATAAAGAGCTGCCTTTCATTTTCTTAGCTGATGTAGTTACTACAATTAAAATTATATGGTATGTCTCCAGCGATTTGTATTATGGGAGAATAAATACAATGGAAACTGCAGAGTCTAAACAGCTTAGCCACTGAGAAAAATACATAATGTATTTCTTAACCTTTCCAATATGCTGCAACTTTTTACAAGCAGAAAAGCATACCTTAGCCACATGAAACTGTATACACATACAGCTCCTCCTAGGTAATCTCCTGCCATGGACTAGAAGAATGGATTCACTAGCTTCTAGGTCCCTTCTCACATGTTTTATATTATTCTAATAAAAGATGAAAGCAATTTATTTTTCTATGTCTTCAAATACACTGAAATTGAATAAAATTGTGCCTTCTTCATATTAGCAATCTGCTAGTTTAAAACATAGCAGTCTCTGATGATGAACCAAGTATGAATGTATCTTTGATAGCATGTTTTCTATGGGTGTTTTTCTAGGGTATTTTCAAATACATTTCAGAACCTAGCCAGAAGAAAAGACTTTAGCTTTTGAACTTAAAATTTCTGGCTTGAACAAGATGATGCTTATTTTATTTAACTTGAGTAATACAGTAGTGAGATTACATCAGTTCAATTAAAGCATATTGTAGACAATGGTAGTTCTACCATACATTTCACTTATTGTTATATTAACTTGAACACCTTGGAAAAAGAGAGTTCTGTGAAAGGTAAATCTGACAACACTATTGTGAGCTGAGGAATTTCTGAGTTAGCTTAAAAGATGAAGAAGACATACAAACAGGTCTTATTTTGTCAACGGGCCAAATTAAGATTGAAAACACGCAGACAAATCTTTTCAAAGTCATCTGTAATCTGTACACGATAAATTGGCTCAAGGTCAGAGGCCAGACTGTGCTGCATTTCTCTGAGGCACCACAGAGGGCAGAGGTGCAAGAGGCATGGGTCAATTAGAAAGGACAGAAAAGAGGGAATGACACCTCATCCTATATTTGTAACTCCCCAATTCTGAGCTGCCTCAAGGCAAAATCCTCAGCAAGATCTGGTGTAGTGTATGGCAGCTTCCTCACTGCTGTCCTCAAGCTGTTTCGCAGGCCAGGGCTGCGGGAGTGTACCGCTCTAAACTCATCTTTACCTAACAAGAGGGAACAATGGCGCATATGCATGCTACTCCTTCATGGGGCAATCTTAATCCTTACTTTGGCCTCTGTATGTATCTGGAAAGGCTGTGCCAGGATTAGGTGTCTCCTCTTGTAGATCATAGTATGTAACTGCCTTTATTAAAGCAATTCACAAAGGAGGCCAGTTCATGGGAACTGATACCAAACATAGGTTGGTAGAGGCATGTATCTGAAATGAGGAGACACTATTGACTGACTGTGAATTATGGTGATAATGTGTATTTAGCTATGCTCCTCATCTAAAGTTCACAATTAGAAAACATTTCTCGGCTCTGTGGTACATTATGTTTGTTCAGAAAACTCAAACCTTTCACTTATTTATGAACACAGCTTTCACTGACTGTAAGGTAGAAATGTCTCTCTAAGGAAGAACAGACCCACACTGTTTTTCCTTGACACATTACTTAAATAAAGACACTTTATGTGGCAAGAATGTGACCCACCTTTTTAGTTTGATTCACATTTACCAAACTGCAACTTCAGAATACCTTTGCCATGAAGCTGAAGGATCTGGTTGTATTCTTTGGGCATTGCATGGAAGCCTGGTTTAGGCAGCTGGTTGTCATAATAGTGGTGGCTGATCGGCATCTTCTCTGTGGATTTTGAGAAAGGCCAGAAGCCATACAGCTTCACATTCTCACACAGCTCAAGAGCAGCACTAGTGATCATAAAACCAGACGACAACCGGTAGGCTTTCACACCTTTAGTTCTCCAGAACTGGGCAAGACTTTTCAGATAGGTGGGGTGAAAAAATATTGCCCTTTGTGTTGCTTTGAACTCTCGCAGAGTGTGATATACTTTAAAAGAAGTGGCTGTGTTGCTTCTGAAGGAAAATGCTGGCAATAAAAGGAAAGCATCTCCATAGACTGCAATGTTCTCCAGAAATTCTGTCTTCTTTTCATTTAGTTTGTTGTATCTGCAAAGTACAACATTTTAGGAAATGAGTGAATGGAATGTACTATGGATATAATTATTACCAAAACAGCACAACTGCACAACTGCACTTGCATATATGAGTTACGAACTCTGCTGCACCAGTTCAGTATGTCTACATTGCAAATTTATACCAATCTGGTAGATGTTGTCATATGTGCAGTTATGAAAATCTGGCTTTATTGTATAATAAGAACACACTTCATAGGACTGAACTGTCAACATGGGATCTACTCATGCAGATCAAATTCACTGCTAATGAGATCAGGACCTGTTTACAGAATCAATCGATTCAAGAAATTTCAAAGAGAATGCAAAAAAAAATTCATATTTATACTTTCTTTGTTTAAAAATACACGCACTATGATATGTAGCGCATGTATTTGTGAAATGTGTTTCTTCCATCAATAGGTATACAATAACCTCTCTTCAAAATCTGGGTGTCTGCCTGTGTGGAAATACAAGTGTGCATGTGAGCAGTCTTGGAGTGTTAAAGATTAGTGCTTGCTCAAGTTTTTCAGCGTCTTAGCTGCTTTTGATGTACTTTTAAAATAGATTAAAATATAAGCATGTCTATTCGTCTCCTTCAGCTACGAAGGGAACACATGGAGATCTGTAATGACTTAGAGAACTAACTTTGCAAATGAAGAGGATTTATCGTCAGATGCTTTGATTCCCCAACAACCAGCAAAGAGAATTATTTCTCACCATTGGATAATTCCGTGCTCCTAAATACCGAATAGTGAACTTCTGGAGTTATCCAAGAAGCAATACAAGGTACAAAGAGATCACTCAACTTGTCTCCTCTATAGAGCTGAGTTGTCTGAATCACCTGACACATGGTGCTTGCACGCCCTTTGGAATTCAAAGCACTGAGTCCTCTTTTGTAGGTAGTTGTCTATCAAAGCAGTGTATTTTCACATTTTAAGGGCTGCCAGAGCCCACTTTCCACAAATGGCTCCAGCAGAAACTGGAAAACTTGTCTTCATTTCTCTTCACAACTTGAATGGGTTCAAACCCTCTTCTCATGCAGCACTTGAAGACAGAGGTCAGCAGCCACTGCTATTTCCATCCCAAACCCTCACACAGGAGTTATCAGTTACCTCTGATAACTGGTATCAGTTACCTCTATCAGCTGTACAAACTGAACACATGCAAGGACTGATACATCCCTCCTCAGCCTGAAAGGCTATAAACTGACAGCTCCTGCTTCCCAGAAAAGTGCCATTACCACCAAACTTTGAAACAAAATGAATGAGACTCAGCCCCTCCTGTTGACCCTAGGCCCCTGCACATGCAAGAATCACATAGCCAAAACAAGCAAGAAAGTCCTGAGCCTACATCTAGGAAGAGTGGCTGAAGGGTGAACTTCTGGCCTCTACTCCAAGAATTTTCTCTATGTCTCCTCAGTATAAAGTACATAAAGAGCATTCAGGACAGAATTCGGACCTCTGTTCTTCCTTAGCTAGAAGTGTGAACAACTCAACCTCATCTTGTTTTCCTTTCCAGCTCTGCCACTGTAAGGTGCAGTGTAGCCCAGCTCCACCAGGACACATAAGAACTGTGCTTCCTTCCTCCAAGAGAATTCACCTACATTGTACACCCTGACAGACACAGTTCAAAAGCTGATTAACCTTAACAATAACATCAGACCAACTCAGTACCCAAACACAGAATTAGAAATTAAAGTGAATAAAGTCAGAATAGGTCTTCTGAGAAAAGAAACAAACTTAGTTCTGCTAAATGGTGCAAAGTTGCTTCCTGCTCCTCCTTCAAAAGCATTTGCAGGCTTCTCTGAATATTTAAATAATTAACTTTTTAAAATCCTCTCATAATCTCATTTCATCCTCACACAGGTTTAGCTCCTATTTCCTTCAGTGAACTCCTATTAACCCTGCCGTGGTTTAATTTAGCTAAAAAATTAGTGCAGCTATGGCAGAATACTTTGATCAAGCCCACACAAATTGTGCATCAGGTCAGTAGTCACCAACCAATGATGCTGAATCACCAGACAAAGTTTTCCTTCCTCATATCCTAGTGCAGTCCTGCTAACACCAATGAGCTAAATCTATTTTTGGAGAAGCAATAATTCATCTTCATTTAAGTCAAGAAGGGCTGGGTAAGCATCAAGGTAGTTAGTACTCACTGCAAAAAAACAAGTTCTATCCTTGAATCAATGACAAATGACTGTTAGTCATTTCTATGCTCACGGTACTTTTTCCTTCTTCCTTTAAAGGAAAAAAAAAAGCTTTGCCTGATGTTGTCTCTTTGACAAATACAGATATGACAGACAATAAGATACAGTAAGATTTGTAAGCAGTAAATAACATGCCACAGCAGTCCTTTTCATAGATAAGCTGCAGTTCCAGACTGCTGAAGATGCCAGATTAGTCAGCCTGGCCTTATTAGATTTTCTTTTCATCAAGAAGGTGAAAAAAAAAACTTAGCTGAGAAAAAAGTGTGTGAGCAGCTTTCATATGGATTAAGAAAATGGATTACAGAAATTGTGCCTCCATTCAGGAAATAGCCTTCATCAGAATAGCCTTTAAGCACACTACCTAAGAACATGTGCTTATAGTCCTACTGATAGAGTCGGACACACATTTCCAAGATTTCCTGATTTATGACTACAATTCCTTTCTTATGCTGGGGGTCATAGAGGAGGAAAGAAGAGGCTTGGGCTTGCAATCATAGATTTTACTCTGTCATAAATTGTGGACTGATGCCAACCGAGGCACTTGCTAATCTGGGTATTGCTGACTCCTTTCTGCTACAAAAAAGGCCAGGTTTAGCAGATTTCCATTTAGACTGCTACATATTTTACATGGGAACTACGGCTTAATGAAGTAATCCGCATGCACTGCTCTCTATGCTAGTATCCCAATGGATTGCCAACAAAATCTAAATCATGTCAAACAATTATACAACACTGCACAGAAACAGATTTGCAGTAGTACTTACTTCTGAGCAATGATACTTGGATTAACAGTCACAAGGTTTGTTTTATTGCCAACATCTTTGCTAATGCTTCCCATGGTTGGAGGGAGGTTACACCTGCAATTGAGAAACATTACTTAAATAGATGCGCACCAGAAATGCTTTACAGTTATTATTTGCAAATTCCTTTCTTGTGCAATGACACTTTCACATCAGCTCCCAGGGATCTCTAAGCACTTTACAAATATTAAATAAGGCTTACAGCACTTCTAGTAAAAATATTTAATCTACTGTACAGATGGTTAAAATAGGGCACAGAGAGCTCATTTCCATAAATCATCTCACAAATCAGAAGCAAAGTTAAAATCCCAGAAGGAGACAGTCTATGAGTGCCCTATGTTCGCTGCTAGGAAATAGTGCCCCTCTTGCCTAAACAATGCATTTCTTCTGAAAGTCTTCTATTATTTTCTTTTTAAAAACAGTCTGATTGATACCAGTCCCTCAGCTTGCACAGCACTGTTGACAGCTGTTCCATGAGACGACAGCATAACTTGCCCAATTGCAGAAACAGTGGTTTCTGTAACAGGCAGAGAAAGCATTTTTTTTAAAGTCAGTCACTTAGTAAGTTTAGCATCTTAGTATGCAGATTTCTCATTTTTATTAAGACAGTTATCTAACTGGAAAGACTTTTTTTTTTTTTAATTTGAAAAGCCCAAATATTAGTCAAAAGCAGGAAAGGAAACAAAATCCAGCAGACTGTGATTGGACATCACTGCGAGACGAATCTTCACTTCGTTACTCTGTTCCCTTGTGGAACTACAAAGTGTGAGTCATGCACTGAGAGAGTGGGCCAAATTACGCCCTGAGAATGCCTGGTTTTCTCCACAATCTATGCAGGGAGCTGAAAAAACTACTTAAATTAGATGCTTAATTTTTTAGATGCCTAACAGAAGGTGAGACAAGTACCGGGGCAGTTAAGTAACTGCATTAGTAAGCCAACCTAAGGCTAAGTAAACCCTCTGTTGAACTAGAGGTAAAGGTAAACATGTGACATTTAATACAAGGGTTTTTTATTTCAGTTTCAGGGCTTGCTTTATTCTCTTCTCCTGATAAAAAAAAAAAAAAAGAGAAGAAAAAAAGTTCCCTCTCCTAAAGGATGAATTCTGTTAAATGAACAGAAATTTCAGGTTCTCTGGTAATCACATTTCACATCACTGGCAAGCTATCTTTGCAATCTTAGATCATGCATGTATCCATATAGTCTTCTCTCAGGAAGCAGCCTTCTGAACTCTACAAAGCAGAAGGACTGTCCTTAGGGAGGCAGAAATAAGGAACTGTCAAGATCCTTCCTCATTGCTACAAACTGGCATTGGCATGCTTCCAAGCCTGTCAAGTTTTTAGAAACATTTGACACCCTTCAGTAAGATGAAGCAGCTCTTACCTAAACACAAAGTCAGAACGATCGATTTCAGCTCCACAGCTGGAATTTTTCAGAATGCCTCCATTTCCAACCACAGCACAGGTCTTGAAGGGATAGACTGAAAGAGGAGAGGACTGCAAACAAAGAAAAAGACACAGCCAACAACTTATAAATCTTTTCATTGTTTCTTCACATCTTTAGTCATTCGTCCTCGCAGGTTTAATCTGGTAAATCCCAGTGAAAGCATTCACCATTTAGCAGATAGGGTTGCCGGGCTTCAGCAGCCAAGAGCCAAAAAGAGGCACCAACAGACTGAGAACTGCTACTTCTGTCGTCAGTATTTTGAGGGAATAACATTGAATTGTTAGAACTGGATTAATAAATTTTAAATACACGTAACACAAAAATTATCTAGTAGTGGACTGAATCCTTGACAAGCTAAGGAACTAACTTGTACCGAAGATAGTTTGAATTTACCCATTTTCCGTTGCGCTGTAACAGACTAGGGGTTGTCACATAGTCATTGACTTTGTCAGCTAATAGAAGGTAACTTTGTAAATGCTCATTACTTTGTCATCACACAATTACAGTTGATGTAAAATAATTTAGGGGAATCTGAAGATGCTGTAAAGGATAATCATGTGCCCTGGCTTAACTCATGGTGAATGTGATGGCTAACTGAAGACGTTACTGTTTCTGGCTGTTCACCCTCTCTACTCCTTGTTAGAGGTTGCTGTCTTGCAGTGGAGAAGCTGAATGGGAGCTAAGTGCATCCACTTGTGAACCAGCACAGATCACAACCTAGCAAATAAATGTAAATTCTTGGCTATTTCAGTTGACATTAATATAGTTGGCTGTTGTCCTAGGGTCTCAGAAACATCTCCTACATCTTGTTCAGCCTCTCCTGCTGTGGGAGCACTGACATTCAACAGAGGGGCCAACAGCTGGGCTACTTTGACTGCAGAAACCAAACCCACTTGTAAAATTGAGTCAAAACCTGCTTACACAAAGTATTATCCTTCCTCATTCTCTCATTACCTTGCCCAAAGAGAAGCAGGAAGAAACACTGTATGAAAGGGCAAAAAGTGTGGTGAAAGTGGCAAACATCATGTTGCCTGGCAATATATTACAAAACTACATGTTCAAATATTTTGTTCAATTCTGAAAAGACAGTAGGAGATCACAAAGGCCAGACAACTCTGTCTAGCTTAGCAAGTATATATGCACATAAAACATACTACTTTCGTCTTTCATTCATTTTAAATTTGGAACTACTGTTACTTCTATTGCAATGAAGTTTTTAGTGATTCACAGCAGCATTAGAAAGGACTAGACGCATAGTAGCTGGGATCTCAGAAATCAAGAATGCCAGACATGGTAAGAGGGCTCCCATGTGCTCTTACTTTTGAGAAATTAAGCACATTTCTGTGCCCCTCTTTGTCTAGTCTCCAGAGGTTGTATGTCTATTGTAAGTCCTGAGCTACAAAATCTGATTCCTTCACTCAACTTGTGTTTCTGGTTGCACAGGCTCCACTCCAGTGGGCAACAAAGCTGGTGAAGGAACATCCTATGAGGAGCGGGAAAGGACTTGGGCTTGTCTAGTTTCGAGAAAAGGAGGCTGAGGGGCAACCTCATTGCTCTCTACAGCTTCCTGAGGTGGGGAAGTAGAAAGGGAGGTGTTGAGCTCTTCTCCCTGGTATCCAGCGATAGGACACATGGGAATGGTTCAAAGCTGCGCCAGGGGAGGTTCAGACTGGACATTAGGAAGCATTTCTTTACTGAGAAAGTGGTCAAACACTGGAACAGGCTTCCTAGAGAGGTGGTCGATGCCCCAGGCCTGTCAGTGTTTGAGGCATTTGGACAACGCCCTTAATACCATGCTTTAACTTTTGGTCAGCCCTGAATTGGTCAGGCAGTTGGACTAGATGATTGCTCTAAGTCCCTTCCAACTGAAATATTCTATTCTGTTCTGTTCTATTCTGTTCTGTTCTATTCTATTCTATTCTATTCTATTCTATTCTATTCTATTCTACTCTACTCTACTCTACTCTACTCTACTCTACTCTATTCAGTTTTGGGTTCACCACCAAAACAGCTTTCATAAGTTATATGCCCAAGCCTGCATTGCAAATGGCATGGGAATAAAGGAATATGAAATGTTGTTCCAGACTGAAATGCCTTTCAAAATGGAAATGAGAAAAGCAAGGCAAACGTTCTCAGATGATTCACTTGTGAATTCAGGTGGCTGCCAAGCCAGGCTGCAACTTGTGTTCTGTAGCAACTCTACCTACAACCTGGTCTATGATATCCTGTTCATGCCTCCACCACTGCAGAGGAAGGTTAAAAAAAAGTCTTACAAGGTGAATGAAGAAGTGTGTACAGGGGTGAAGGGTCTCTTCCAGAGGAATCAAATAAAGCAGCTCTATCACTAACCCAAAATATATATGATACTGCAATTATAATAACAGGTAAAGATACAGTTCTTACCACAGGCAGCATCTTGAAAATGTCCTCTGTAATGAGGATGGTCTTTTTACTGTCCACTTCGTAACTCATGTTACTTCCCAGTGGGGTGTTGTTTTGAGAAGCAATAAAATTGTGAACTGCATCACAGCAGGAACCTAACTCTGATCTGCAAAAAACCCAAACAAAACATGCTCAAAGACTGGCAAATAAGTAGAAGAGTGGTGGTAGAGAACTAGATGAATGAAAACCAGTTCTAATTAACTAAGCAAGAAACAGCTGTATGAACCCCCTATTGAGGGTGAACCCTTATATGAACCCTCATTTCCCTTGACTTGCTTTGTAGACCAAGTCTGTTTTCACAGCAAATGTTCAGAAACGAAGAACTCCTTTTGTTATCCTGTTTTTCTCTCTTGGCCTCCCTTTCCCATCCAGAAAAAGTTGTAATCAACCTTCTCCTTATTATTAATTGCTAAGATTATTATAGAAACACTGACAGACTTCAGTCCCCAAAGAACTAACAATGTGATTTAAATCAACATAGATTGAGTGATTGTAAGAAACTAGAAGGCTGAAGAAAGAATGAATCAAGGAAATGAAAGGAATGATGATGGGAAGTACTGGCTATAGTAGTCAGTGAACAGCTAGATGGTTGCAAGCCAATTAATTAATAATTCATTTCTGCAACTGTTCAGCACAGTTTTTCTGTGCATAGTATCACAGATGTTAAATAAATTACATCACAACTTGCAAATAAAGAAGACTGATATCTTTGTGGTAGAGACAGATAGCCTAGCTGCTCCCCAAAACACTTAGCAGAAGTCCTTAAATAGATAAGAGTGCAAGGGATTCACTTAAACTTTATGTTGAAGTGCAGGCTATCACCCATCTTACAATTCCTGTTACCTCCAAACTTATAAAAATATGATGTGTGTAAACATCCTGTATTATTAACAGTGAAATGCAATGAAAAGCCCCATCAAACCTGAAACACTAGAATTCATTTTGTTTTAGGGAACGATGTTCTCTCTGCTGCCACTGGATCTGATTTTCAGACTGTAAGGCTGAAATATTCATGGCCAGCCATTATCTACCAATTGGTAGGACATAGCTATGTCATTAGGTGAGATACTAAGAGAACTACTAACCATTTAGAGAATAAAGTTCATTGATAACAGAATTGCTTGGAATTTTGAAGAAGATAACAGAGCAGGGAAAAAATAGTAATTCCTGTCCTAACACTGAAGGTTAATTGCAAAGATAAAAATAAATATATTTACAGTTACAGCCAGAAGAACAGCAAAGTTTTATTTCATACTTTTTCAGTGAGTATGGTAAACCAAACCATTGGAACTAGGTAAAGAATACAGGCCAAATTCTGTTTGAAAGTGAGCTGACTTTAATCAGGCAAGACAGGTAAGAGAAGTTGCTTCATTTGACTTTATCAACAATGTACACAGAACAAATATTCTAATAGTAATATAAGTTTATTTATGATGGAGATGAAGCATAGTCTAGTATATGGAAGAACCCAAGGACTGTGTTTCCTGGAAGACAGGGAGGAGAATGAACAGGTCTGGGCTAACTCCCAATCTCATTTCTCTTGAAATAATGGTCAAAATGGGGGGAAAAAAGGTTGGGAAGGTTGGTGTGATTCATACATAAAATACCAAAGGGAAGAGTACCATTACAATTGTCAGATGGCTCAGTGGTATATATTAACCTGTTTTGAATACTGAGCTGTGACACACCTCAAAGACAAAGTTTCCAGATGTGTGAGGAACACTGGGAGTGACTGAACGCTGCGATGGCACAGATCTGAAATAATCATACTAGGAGAGTTACCAGGAAATGTTAATGGCAAATAATACTCCTGAGGGAGGACACAGTAGGGTTCAGATTTCTACAAAACATACTGAGTTCCACTCCCTGAGCACACTGATTCCCGCTGCCTTGCTTGAAGCCTTACGGGGCAGGAAGGACTGCGGTCAATGAAAACCACGAGGTACAAGGGTCGGGATGGAACTGAGACTATGCTTTTGTGGGTCAGGAGGTGTGCACGTGGTGAAAACAATTACTCTGGGCATATAGTGTCCCACTTTAAACATACGGAAAAATACAAATGGAGCAACGAGGCAGGAGAGTCAAATGATTAGGTCTGGGAACACTGGATGTTATTGTCCCACTCTTGACTACAGTCCACTTGCTTTTCTTTCTTGCACACTTTTTCCTATAACCAGCTCTTTCTAACCTTAATATGTACTGCAGTAATAAGAGGATTCAGGTGTCATTGTCAGGCCCTGAGGGTACCACCAAGCCCACTACCCCTGCCCAGACTCCCTGGGACCACCCACACCCTGCCCACAGCCTAGGACCCCATGTCAGCCTCCTGGGACCACCAGTCCCTGCCCCAGTGACACTGCAGCAGGGCCAGTCTCCAGCTGTGCCCATCCCGTCCCCAGGGAGGTGGCCATGCCCAGGGCCAGGGCTGCCCTGCTCCCGGCTCTGGGTGGGACAGGCCCAGCTGCCAGTCCCTCACTGCTCCTTGACAATCACATGGAGATGAGGAATCACAAAAACCATAATTTTGACTTCCTTGAATGTTTTCTTAAAGCTAAATGAAGCAGGGCTAAGTATTATCTGTGTCAACCACAGGACATTCAGAGAAGGAATAATGCCAGAATATTCTTGCCTAGCTTTAGTAGAACAGCTGTTTTGTTTGTGATGGCTACCAGAACCTGAAAAAGCAAACTGATGATAGATAACATTTATTAATACAGATGATGTGTTTTTGATTTTTATTACTCATTCCACAAGAACGAGTGCTTCAATAAAAGCAGAAACAGTCTGGAAGAAAAACAGATATCAGAATTAATAAGAAAGTAATAGTTTAATGTTATGGATCCACTGAGGAAGTAAACCAGAGCCGAGCTAGTTCAGAAATGCAGCGAGAACACAAGAATACAGATTGATTAATGATGTATACCCTTATGTTATCTGAGAGCATATATGCTAAAAATTTGGAGGTAACAATAGAAACCTCTTAATTAGATCAAATCATGACACAGAATCCCACTGTGCCCAAGCATCCATGTACGGAGCTCCAGTGGGAACACGTGTAATCTGCAGACAGCAACACCCACTGGCAATATATTTAGCAATCTATTCATATAGGATTTTGTACAAGCTGTGACACATGGTACCTCTACAACTGACAGCAAACAATGAGGAAAGGGTAGAGACAGGTCAGCTCAAGCAATCTATTACTGCAACTGTCATCATAGTATTAATGTCATATGTGGTCTCTGTCATGAGGTAATGACACCCTAAAAAGCATGTACTTCATATCATTATGACATGCATCGTACAAGTCAATTCTTTTAACAGGTGCTATATGTAAGGTGTTGTAAAGCCAAGACAACATTTTAACTTCTGTATCATTCTATCTGGGGAGAGAGAAATTGTTAAAAGCTAACATACAAATCAATTCCTAACCAATGGCAGGTTAAGAGACAAGGGTCAGAATCTTAACAGCACCAAACAGTACTACCTTAAAGACAAACTCTGCATTTTCTTTGGAAGGACAGAAAGTGATCCCTGTTGTCCTGACCAGGAGAAAATGCTGAGATATGGGGGCAGCTCTTGGAAGATGGGATGTTGCTATACAGGCTGAGCATCCACCTCAGATATGTATAAGAATATGGATGTAGCTTACGGTAAGAAGGTTTAAGTTCCAGCTGTTAATGGGGCTGATAGATTTGGGGGTTGTGCTAGAACGAAGTGTTTTTATGATCCAGTCATGACATTAGAAGTCCAGAGTGAAGGAAGCTGGAGTCAAAGTACACAAGTTTTGTAGGGCCCTAGGTTTGGAAAATATCTCCTCTAGAGTACAGGTTTCTTATTTGGAGGAAGCCTTCTCTCCAACATTTCTCCTGCAAACAGCTGGAAGTGCAGTGAGACCTCACAGGTATTTTTAGATCCTGAGGTGTATCATCAACCACAGATATTTCTTATGCCAAAATAAGCAAAAAGGGACTTGACTGCATTATCTGGAAATTTCACTTGTAACAAGCAAAGAACAAAATCAGTACCTGCAAAAAGACTACACCATTCAGACTGGTAATACATACCTCATAAAACTGAGTAAGTACCATCATGAAAGTCTGAATCCACCCAAGAGTACAGAGGGAGCTGGCGGAGGAGCTTGCCAAGCCACTCTCCATCATTTATCAGCAGTCCTGGTTAACAGGGGAGGTCCCAGAAGACTGGAGGCTTGCCAATGTGACGCCCATCTACAAGAAGGGCCAGAAAGAGAATCGAGGGAACTACAGGCCTGTCAGCCTGACCTCT